CACAAGTTTTAACAGTTGAATTGATCAAGCAGAGAAGAATGGATATCAGAGGTTGAAGACCAACTCAATGAAATAAAAACGAGAAGACAAGATTAGAGATAAAAGGATAAAAAGGAATGAGCAAAGTCTCCAAGAAATATGGGGTTATGTGAAAAGACCTAATCTGTGTTTGATAGGTGTACCTGAATGTGACGAAGAGAATGAATCCAAGCTGGAAAATACTCTTCAGGATATTATCCAGGAAAACTTTCCCAACCTAGCAAGGCAGGACAATATTCAACTCCAGGTAATACAGAGAACACCACAAAGATATTCCTCAAGAAGAGCAACCCCAAGGCACATAATTGTCAGATTCACCAGGGTTGAAATGAAGGAAAAAATGCTAAGGGCAGCCAGAGAGAAAGGTCAGGTTACCCACAAAGGGAAGCCTATCAGACTCACAGTGGATCTCTCAGCAGAAACCCTACAAGCCAGAAGAGAGTGGGGGCCACTTTTCAACATCCTTGAAGAAAAGAACTTTCAACCCAGAATTTCATATCCAGTCAAACTAAGCTTCACAAGCAAAGGAAAAATAAAATCTTTTGTGAACAAGCAAGTACTTAAAGATTTCATCACCACCAGGCCTGCTTTACAAGAGCTTCTGAAAGAAGCACTACACATAGAAAGGAACAACCAGTATCAGCCTTTCCAAAAATATACCAAAAAGTAAAGAGCATCAACATAATGAAAAATTTACATCAACTAATGGGCAAAACAGCCAGCTAGCATCCAATGGCAGAATTAAACTCACATATATAATTATTAATCCTAGATTTAAATCGACTAAATCCCCCAATCAAGACACAGACAGGCAAATTGGATAAAAAGCCAAAACCTATCCGTATGCTGCATCCAGACCATCTCACATGCAAGGATACACAAAGACTCAAAACAAAGGGATGGATGAAGATTTACCAACCAAATGGAGAGCAAAAATAAATAAATAAATAAAAAGCAGGAGTTGCAATTTTCTCGCCTCTGATAAAATAGACTTTAAAGCAACAAAGATCAAAAGAGGCAAAGAAGGACATTACATAATAGTAAAAGGATCAATGCAACAAGAAGAGCTAATGATCCTAAATATATACGCACCCAATACAGGAGTACCCAGATACATAAGATAAGTTCTTAATAACTTATAAAGAGACTTGGACTCCCACACAATAATAATGGGAGACTTTAACATCGCATTGTCAGTATTAGACACATCAACGAGACAGAAAATTAACAAGGATATCCAAGACTTGAACTCAGACCCAGATCAAGTAAACTTAATAAACATTTATAGAACTCTCCACCCCAAATACACAAAACATACATTCTTATCAGTACCACATCACACCTACTCTAAAAGTGACTACATAATTGGAAGTAAATCACTCCTCAGTAATTGCACAGCATTTCACAGGTTTAAATGAAATATTGGTTGGCTGCTTGTTTATTTTCCTCCCTTATTCCTTCCTGTCTCCATTGTTAAGCACAATTATTGGCAATAAAAGAGGTTTTCAATACCCATTTTTTTTTTTTCTGAGATGGAGTTTTGCTCGTTACCCAGGCTGGAGTGCAACGGTGCAATCTCGGCTCACTGCAACCTCTGCCTCCTGGGTTCAGGCAATTCTCCTGCCTCAGCCTCCTGAGTAGCTGGGATTACAGGCACGTGCCACCATGCCCAGCTAATTTTTTGTATTTTTAGTAGAGACAGGGTTTCACCATGTTGACCAGGATGGTCTTGATCTCTGGACCTCGTGATCCACCCACCTCGGCCTCCCAAAGTGCTGGGATTACAGACTTGAGCCACCGCGCCCGGCCCAATACCCATTTTTAGACTGCATTCTAGCCTGGGCAATAAAGCAACACTCCTGGTTCTCTCTCACTCTTTCTCTTCCTCTTTCTTCCTTTCATTCTTTTTTTAAATTTTTTTTCTTTCTCTCTCTCTTTTTTCCTTTTTTTCTCTAAAAAACAAAAAAACAAACAACAAAAAACAAAACAGATCAAACAACAAAAACAAGCAACCCATGTATTAAGCGATATGTACATATAGTAAGATGGATAATACAGTAAAGCAAATTTAACATATCCATTATCTCACATAGTTACTTTTTTGTGTATGATAAGAGCAGCTAAAAATCTTATTTAACAAAAGTCCCCAATACAGTACAATTTTATTAACTCTGGTCCTCATGTTGTACTTTTGATTTCTGGGTTTGCTGCTTCTTCATGTCTGCTGCTTTGTATCCTTTGAACTGCATCTCCCCATTTTCTCTCCCTTCCCCTCCTCACTTGTCCCTGTTCTCTATCTTTGTATATTCACAATTTTTTTTTAAGATTCCACATATAAGATCATGCAGTATGTTTTTGTGTGTGTCTGGCTTATTTCATGATGTCCTTTCCAAAAAAAAATATATATATATATATATATGTATATATATATATTATACTTTATATATATAATATATAGATAGATAGATATAGATATATATCATGGGCCGTAAAGTCACTTCGGCTTCTAACCAAGATAGAATAACAGGCATTAAATCTGCCCTACCACTTAACAAAAAAAACTGACAGAATATATAAAACAACAGTTTCTATACACTGGACATCAGGTATTGCAAGGCAGTGATGTCTGAGAAAGGAAAAGTAAACACAGTGAGACCTACAATTGCCTGTGGTGCAGGAAGGGATAACCTAAGTGGTTAGAGTTCGCAAGTACCAGAGCTGCACAGAGAGGGAACTCTGGAGACCTATAGAGGGTCCCCATCAGCTATTTACCTAAGTACGAATTAGCACATGCCTGAGAGGATACTATGCAATGCCAGGGAAAGAAGCACCCAGAGGAATAGAGAGAACATTTCCCAGAACTCACACAGGGCTGAAAATGGGTTGCATTGCCACTAGGTAGAAAGAAAACACCCTGGTAACTTATGGGGCATTCAGCAGAATACTCAGAACCGTAATGCCTCAGTGGATGGTAAAAGTTAGCCTTAATAGCTGTTGGTCATTCTCAAAAGCAGGCTTCAAAAGGAGCCCTTAAATGCAGATCTCAAAAGGATCAGACTACCACCAAGACTAAGTTCCAACTTAACTGTACCTTAGGACAAAACTCAAGAATATTTTAAAGAATACAAAAATATCCAGAACTCAAAAAGGCAAAATTCACAATGTCTGGTATCCAACAAAAAATTATCAGGCATGTATAGGAGCTTGAAAATATAAGGTAAAAAACCAATCAGTAGAAATTGATCCAGAAATGACCCAGATAATGAAATTAGTGGACAAAAAGACAGTAAACAGTTGTTGTAATCATATCCACAAGTTAAAAATGATAAATACCTGACCATGGTAAGTGGGCTTGTGGAAATTATAAACAGATCCAAATCAAACTTCTAGATATGAAAAAATACATCTGAGATTAAGTACACTGAAATTAACGGCATATTAAACTAAACAAAGGAAAAATAATAAACTTGAAATCAGCAATAGACATTACTCAAAATGAAACAGAGAAAAGAAAGTTTCTTTCCAAATATGATGAAACTATAAAACTCATAGATCCAAGAAGCTGAACACCAAGCACAAGAAATAGGAAAAATAAAAAACTACATCAAAAGGTGTATCATAATCCAACTGTGTAAAACCAGTGATAAAGAGTAATTCTTTTTTTTGAGATGGAGTTTCGCTCTTGTTACCCAGGCTGGAGTGCAATGGCACGATCTCGGCTCACCGGAACCTCCGCCTCCTGGGTTCAAGCAATTCTCCTGCCTCAGGCACCACCATGCCCAGCTAATTTTTTGTATTTTTAGTAGAGACGGGGTTTTACCATGTTGACCAGGATGGTCTCAATCTCTGGACCTCATGATCCACCTGCCTTGGCCTCCCAAAGGAGTTATTCTTAAAAGTAGCCAGACAAAAAGATAACACATTATATGGAGAAGCAAACTAAGGATGATTACAAAGTTTCACTGGAAGCAATGCAGTCAGAAGACAGTTCCATAGCATCTTTAAGTAAAAAACAAAACAAAACTGTCAGCCTAAAATCCTATATCCAACAAGAACATTTCCAAAAAAAAAAAGAAAAGGAAGTTTTTTTCAGACATACGAAACAAAGAATTTGTCACCAGCAGACTGGACTGCAAGAAATGTTAAAGGAATTCTCTCAGGCAAAAAGAGATAACAGTGAGTGAATATCTGAAACTATACAAAGAAAAAAGAAAAACACCAGAAATGGTAATAAATTTGTGGGAAATATAAGATTTTAAATTATTTTTTAAATCTCTTTAAAAGATAATGTTTAAAGAAAAATAGTAACAATATATTTTGGGGTTTATAAAATGCAGAATAAAATATATGATAACAGTACTAATGCTGGGAGGAGGAAATGAAAGGGACTGCTGAGTTATCACTATAGGTGAAGGGGTGTTAATTATCACTTGAAGGTAGTCTGTGATAAGCTAAAGATGTATTCTATGAAGATGCATTCTAAAGCAACCACTAAAAAAAAAGTTATAGCAAAAAAAAAAAAGTTATAGCTAGTAATCCAATAGAGAAATTAACATAGGAGCATTTGAAAAAAACCAAAAGCAAGCATGAAAAAAGGAAATGACACAAAGAACAGGTAGAACAAACTGAAAATTTATTTAAATCCAATCATACCAGGCCAGGTGCAGTGGCTCACACCTGTAATCCCAGCACTTCAGGAGGCTGAGGGGGGCAGACTGCTCGAGCTCAGGAGTTTGAGACCAGCCTGGCCAACATAGCAAAGCTTCGTTTCTACTGAAAATACAAAATTTAGCCTGGAGTGCTGGAGTGTGCTTGTAATTCCAGCTGCTCAGGAGGCTGAGGCGGGAGAATCTCCTGAACCCAGGGGACAGAGGCTGCAGTGATTGCAGATAACGCCAATGCACTCCAGCCTGGGTAACAGGGTGACACTCCATCTCAAAATATAAAAATAAATAAATCCCTCTGCCCGTGGACGCCGCCGAAGCAGCATCGTTAAAGTCTCTCTTCTCCCCGCGATCATGTCTAAGTCAGAGTCTCCTAAAGAGCCGGAACAGCTGAGGAAGCTCTTCATTGGAGGGTTGAGCTTTGAAACAACCGATGAGAGCCTCAGGAGCCATTTTGAGCAATGGGGAACGCTCACAGACTGTGTGGTCATGAGAGATCCAAACACCAAGCGCTCCAGGGGCTTTGGGTTCGTCACGTATGCAACTGTGGAGGAGGTGGATGCAGCCATGAATGCAAGGCCACACAAAGTGGATGGAAGAGTTGTGGAACCAAAGAGAGCTGTCTCAAGAGAAGATTCTCAAAGACCAGGTGCCCACTTAACTGTGAAAAAAATATTCGTTGGTGGCATTAAAGAAGACACTGAAGAACATCACCTAAGAGATTATTTTGAACAGTATGGAAAAATTGAAGTGATTGAAATCATGACGGACAGAGGCAGTGGCAAGAAAAGGGGCTTTGCCTTTGTAACCTTTGACGACCATGACTCCGTGGATAAGATTGTCATTCAGAAATACCATACTGTGAATGGCCACAACTGTGAAGTTAGGAAAGCCCTGTCAAAGCAAGAGATGGACGGTGCTTCATCCAGCCAAAGAGGTCCAAGTGGTTCTGGAAACTTTGGTGGTGGTCGTGGAGGAGGTTTCGGTGGGAATGACAACTTTGGTCGTGGAGGAAATTTCAGCGGTCGTGGTGGCTTTGGTGGCAGCCGTGGTGGTGGTGGTTATGGTGGCAGTGGGGATGGCTATAATGGATTTGGCAATGATGGAGGCAATTTTGGAGGTGGTGGAAGCTACAATGATTTTGGCAGTTACAACAATCAGTCTTCAAATTTTGGACCCATGAAGGGAGGAAACTTTGGAGGCAGAAGCTCTGGCCCCTATGGTGGTGGCGGCCAATACTTTGCCAAACCACGAAACCAAGGTGGCTATGGCGGTTCCAGTAGCAGCAGTAGCTATGGCAGTGGCAGAAGATTTTAATTAGGAAACAAAGCTTAACAGGAGAGGAGAGCCAGAGAAGTGACAGGGAAGCTACAGGTTACAACAGATTTGTGAACTCAGCCAAGCACAGTGGTGGCAGGGCCTAGCTGCTACAAAGAAGACATGATTTAGACAAATACTCATGTGTATGGGCAAAAAACTCGAGGACTGTATTTGTGACTAATTGTATAACAGGTTATTTTAGTTTCTGTTCTGTGGAAAGTGTAAAGCATTCCAACAAAGGGTTTTAATGTAGATTTTTTCTTTTTCTTTTTTTTGCACCCATGCTGTTGATTGCTAAATGTAATAGTCTGATCGTGATGCTGAATAAATGTCTTTTTTTTTAATGTGCTGTGTAAAGTTAGTCTACTCTGAAGCCATCTTGGTAAATTTCCCCAACAGTGTGAAGTTAGAATTTCTTCAGGGTGATGCCAGGTTCTATTTGGAATTTATATACAACATGCTTGGGTGGAGAAGCCAATGTCTTCAGAAACCTTGGTGTAGTTGAACTAATAGTTACTGTTGTGACCTGAAGTTCACGATTAAAAGGAATTACCCAAGCAAAAATCATGGAATTATTGGTTATAAAGATGATTGTTGGCACATCCTATGCAATATATCTAAATTGAATAATGGTACCAGATAAAATTATAGATGGGAATGAAGCTTGTGTATCATCCATTATCATGTGTAATCAATAAACGATTTAATTCTCTTGAAAAAAATAAAATAAATAAATAAATAAATAAATAAATAAATCCATAATATCAACAATAACATTAAACATAAATGGTCTAACCACTCCAATTTAAAAGCAAAGATTATCACAGTGAAAAACAAGCAAGTCCCAATTATATGCTGCTTAAAAGAAACTGCTACTTGCCAGGCCTGGTGGTTTATGCCTGTAACCCCAGCACTTTGGAAGGCTAAGGAAGGAGGACCACTTGAGCCCAGGAGTTCCAGACTAGCCTGGGGCACATGGCGAAACACTCTCTACAAAAGTTCAAAATTTAACCAGGTGTGGTGGCTCGCATCTATAGCCCTAGCTGCTTAGGAGACTGAGATAGGAGGATTACTTGAGTCCAGGAGGTTGAGGCTGCAGTGAGCTTTAATTGTGCCACTGCACTCCAGCCTGGGCAACAGAGCAAGACCTTGACTCAAAAAATAAAATTAAATTAAATAATAAAAATAAAGAAAAGAAACCCTATTATACATATTTTTAAGTACTATCCCAGCTTTCACTTATTAGATACTAACCAATGAAAAGAACTGCTTTGCAGAGCCTTAAAAGTATCAACTTGCTTTAATAAGCAACACAGATTAGTGGACAAGTAGAAAGGGAAATTCCCAATAGCATGATAAAGATTTCTAATTCTCAATTCTCCCTATTACCTGTCTATCTTCTATTCAAAGTTTGTAGTATTTAATTTCCCACATGCCAAAAGTTATTCAAAAGATTGAAGGTGGCAAAAATGCTGCTTCTCAAACAAACCTTTCTTATTCAAACCAGATATAGTCCAGTCCTCTAAAAAACAAAACACCAAAAGGAAGCAAGCAACCAAAGAAACCTATCTCCAATGCTTTCTGAAATGCAACCAGAAGCTAGTAATTTTTAAAACATATCACATAATATATCACAAATCCTCCGAACTTCAAATTGGAATCAGCCAATGGCTAAAAATAAAAACACACAGCAAGTTGGACTGGGATGGTGCAGGCAACAGTCCCAAAATTCTGTCCCTCCTCCCTGCAGAAGAAAGCAAATGTATCACTAAATAGCTCACAGTTAACACGTTACTATCTTTTTGAGATACCAGTATCCTGGGGATACTTACAATTTTGAGAGCTTCTCAAGTATTAGTGGTGGGTTTGGAACACACTCCCTGGCTCAGCTCCTAAATCTAAACAGAGCACTCAGACTCCTGTGCTTTAATTTTGGCTCCCAAACTTTCTAGCTGTATGATCACAGGCAAATTACTTAACTTCTTTATGTTTCAACTTCCTCACCTGTATAACTGAGGGGATCCTATAACTTTTTTGTTAGTATCAGTGCTTACTGTGAGCCGGGCACTGTTCCAAGTGCTTTACATATATTTTTAAATCCTAAAAACTCTATGAGGTAGGCATTATTATTCCTACCTTACAGATAAGGAAACAGCAGAGATTTGTGTTCCTCTCAAATTACATAGGTATTAGGTGAGAGCTTGGATTTTAACTCAGTCTGGTTCCATCTTTATCAACCTGCCATCTTTATCAATATGCCAAACAAGTAACTAGCAACAATTCCATGGATTTCCCAAATTGCTCATCTTTTCATGATAGACCGTAAACTATTTAACAAGAGCTTTATCTTTTTCATCATGAGTGATCCCACCATCTAGCAAACAGAGCATAAAACAGATCAAAGTCTGCTGAATGAATAGATTCCTGGGCATGATTCTGCCTGTCATATGTCATTTACTTTCACATGCTCCTAGGGACACGGTAGAGAGTGTACATGGCTAAGAACCAGACCGATGTTCTATCCCAACCAAACCAGTCAGTCCTCAGCTGAGCCATTTTAGGAAAGTCATCTCACTTCCCTAGATCTGACTGTGTTCATTTGTAAAATGAGGAACTGAACTAGATCTAAGTTCCCTTTCAGCGCAAAAATTTCCAAGAAAATCAATGTCACTCTTTTGGAAAAAGAACAAGAGAGCTGCCTCACTGAAATACCTTGCAGTTTTCAGAGGAACATGCACAGCTCTTCTATTGCTTACTAGAAATCCTTTACTCCCCTAGACTAAAAGCTCCAACAGAGCCTGGACGTAGACTCTCCCGTTTATATGTCTTCCCCACTACAGCACATGGCATGCGGAAGACATCTGATGTGTAATGAATAAATGCATTATAGGTGAAAACTTGTGAGTACTAAGTGAAAAGAGAAACTCTTCTTTCATATAGCACTCTAAATCAGTTATTTCCCAAATTCATGAATGGATGGCTAATTTTACTAGCTGCATGTTCATTTTAGATATTCCTATTTACTTTAGTTATAAAAACTGTTCTAAAGATTTATTCACAAGGCTTTTTAAAATGCTTTAACTTCTTGCTGTTTCAATGTATTTCATCTATATCCTAAACAGTTCTTGTTCCAAATGTCCTATTTAGGAGAAAAATAGTAATCTTAACATCAACAGCAAAAGCTCAAAAAACATTTTCTGAAATATATATCTTATCTGTGCCATAAACTAGATCATAAAAGCAGCAGTTGAAAAGAAGTTATTAGAAATAGCTTAAAATTCACAGGAAACAGATGCTAACCTTCCCTCCCTGCCTCCCCCCTTTCCTAATGCCTTTAAATATAAAGCTGTATTACATGTTGAAATGAACCTTTTATTTTGATGGTTATTTATGTAGATTATCCAGAGAAATTTAATGTAATCTCAATTCACCAGAGTTTTTCAAACAATAAAGTACAAATTGATACAGGTAAACCCTGAAGTTTACCTTCTAATGTTTAAAAAAAGAGGGAGGAGGGAGTTTCTAAAATTGATTCACTTTTTACTTGGAATAATTACTGATTATATGTCATAAAAACCTAGAAATTATTTCACACCGTATGTAAAATATACATTACTTCCTTGGTTCTAACCCCTGGCCTAAGTTTTGTTTTAATGCAGATGTTAGAACTTCCCCTAGAGTTGATTCCAACAAGATGGGGCCCTGGTGTGACTGTTTTTTGTTTTGGTTTGGTTTTTGTTTTGAGGCAGGTCTTGTTCTGTGGCTCAGGCTGGAGTGTACTGGCGCAATTCTAGCTCACTTAGCCTAGAACTCCTGGGCTCAAGTGATCTTCCCACCTCAGCTTCCTGAGTAAATAGGACCACAGGTGCACACCGGCATATCCAGCTAATTTTAAAATTTTTTGTAGAGACTGTCCATATCTTGCTATATTGCCCAGGCTGCTCTCAAACTTCTGGGCTCAAGCAATCCTCTGCCTCAACCTCCCAAAGTGCTGGGATTACAAGCATGAGTTACCCAACCTGGCCTACATCTTTTTTAAACACTCCATGTAACTGAGATAGCAGCCAAGGTTGAGAACTACTTCATTCAACATTTAACAGTTAATGCTAGATTGCTTCAGGTAGGTGATCAGGTTAACTCAATATATAAAACCTAAAAATGTTAAAATATTATACTACTAGTCCTGTATTTTTTTCTACACTCTTATTCTCTATTTTAAACATTATCAATTGGAGCAATGGTTCCTCACATTGCTTTTTACGCATTGCAGGGAATACCACAAGTCTTAAGACAAAATTCAGTATGAATTCATTTGAGTTTTAAATTTCCTCCAAAGTGATTTCTCTCATTACACTAATATTTTAAGTTAAAACATTTATAAAACAAAACTGTAAGAAAAAACTTAGCCAATTCCCAATCTCAAAGAGCTTTCCTAGTACTAGAGAGCAGAAGTTTTTTTTTTCCCCCCTTCTGTATTTTTAGAGACGGGGTCTTGCTCTGTGATCCAGGATGAAGTGCCGTGATGCAATCACAGCTCAATGCAGCCTCAAACTCCTGGGGTCAAGCAACCCTCCCATCTCAGCTCCCCAAAGCGCTAAGATTGCAGGCTTGAACCATGGCACCTGGCCTTTTTTTCATTTTTTAAATACAAAGCTGCCAGGAGCAGTTAGCAGTGCTGTTCAGGGAATAGAACTTGGAAAAAAGCACAGGAGGAGGGCAGGTTAGAGGCAAACACAGAAAAGCTACAGAGTAATGAGACCTGCTACAGAGGTATGTGGAAAAGATGGGGGGATTTTAAGTGGGCAAGTAGAACAATTAGACATGTTTTGCAAAAATCCTCCTAAATGGTGACAAATATTTGTCCTCTGAAGGAGAATTTGATAGGGGTTATTAGCTCTGATTTATGGATGAGAAAATAAAGCTGCTAGAGGTTAAGTGATCTGCCCAAGATGGTAATGCCATGAAGAGACAGAGTTAAGATTTGAGACTCAAAACCAACCTTACATTACAGCGAAGAAAGCTGTATGACCATTACAAAGGAGCTGGAAAAGGCCTTGTCCAAAGACACTTCAAAAAATGTTTTAAATAATGGACCATGAGGTAACCTGGTGAAGTTTTATTTATCTTTGACAATAAGGCTTTTTTGCATTGCTGACATTTTCTGACACAAAACTTTCACTATCTTTTGTATTTTTTTTTTTTTTTTTGAGACAGGGCTGGAATGCAGTGGTACAAACACGGCTCACTGCAGCCTCAACTTGTGGGCTCAAGTGATCCTCCCACCTCAGCCTCTCAAGCAGCTAGGACTACAGGCACACGCCACCATGCCCAGCTAATTTCATAAATTTCCTGTAGAGATACGGTTTTGCTGTATTGCCTAGGTTTGTCTTGAACTACTACTCCAGGAGGAGCCTCAAGAAATCCTCCTGCCTTGGCCTCCCAAAGCGCTGGGATTACAGGCATAAGCCACCAGGCCCAGCCACTTTTGCCATCTCAAATAAACCTCATTTCTTCACAGTCATGCGTGTAATTTGCTTGACACAGACAACAAAATTTACTGTAAAATACAAGAAATTATCTTCTCTCTGGCTTTGCTAACATTGCCATTGCTTTCCCACATCCTGTTCATCTGCATTGAATACTGTTTAACTACTGCCACGACACGGCTTTCAGACCCTCATGTAGCTTTCCGAATCAGTGTTTACTTATATCTTCTAACCTG